ACTCCTGTTTTTCTTCCAATGGAAGTCTGAGGTAAATGAATTGTCCTCGCTGATAGATGTATTGTCTTTAAAATGCAAGCTGTTAGAACCTCTGCTGTGCTTCTTGGTAGCTCAAGAGCTTTGTTTTTTGTTTATTATCTAGATAAGTGTTCTTTTCTTGGGTTTTTCATACTGAAACTCTTGGTTCTTGGATCAGAATGAGATTGGCGGAAGCTGTTGATTTGTGGTTGAGGTCGAGATCCTTTCGTTCAGTGGGTTCGCACCTCCGGATGGACTGTCAGTTCTTTATTCTTTTAATAATCATTTTTATAGGGGTTTTCACCTTTATTGATAGGACAGTGGAGATTTACAGACAGAAAAGCATGGGGAGATGAGAGAGGAAAAGGATCGGCAAAGGACCTTGAGCCAGGAATCGAACTCGGGTCGCCGCGAGCACCTGGTTACTATATGTCGACGCATTAACTAGTAGGCTATTGGCGCCGACGGACTGTCAGTACTTAACCCTTAGCTGAGGCGTGAGCCATGTTGTAAGACCCCATTAAATCAGAATAGTATTTTTGGAAATTGTCCCAAATGATGACTCAAATAATATTATTAAGATCCTAAATATGTGCCAATTCTGAATGTGTTGGGGACGTGCACTCTGACTGTGATGTTCATGATAAGCCAATTGGCTATACAGCCCTTCCTATTTCCAAAATTGGTTCAATTTGTGATATTATGATTAAAATATCAGGAGGATTTTATGTTATTGCAGCAGCTAGAGGCTGTTTGTGAGTGGATACGTTTGCCAAAAGGGAAATTGGTTGTACTTCACAAATAGTTCCGATGTGGGAACTGATTGGTTGTGCCAACGAGACAATAACGAATCCCATTTTAATGATTTTTCTTTTCTTGTTGATTCAATCAAAATGTTATGGAAAACTAGCCATGAGTACTCCTGTTTTTTTCCAATGGAAGTGTGAGGTAAATGAATTGTCTTTAAAATGCAAGCTGTTAGAAACACTGCTGTCCTTCTTGGTAGCTCAAGAGCTTTGTTATTTGTTTATTATCTAGATAAGTGTTTTTTTCTAGAGTTTTTCATACTGAAACTCTTGGTTCTTAGGTCAGAAAGAGATTGGCGGAAGCTGTTGATTTGTGGTTGAGGTCGAGATCCTTTCGTTCAGTGGGTTTGCACCTCCGGATGGACTGTCAGTTCTTTATTCTTTTAATAATCATTTTTATAGGGGTTTTCACCTTTATTGATAGGACAGTGGAGATTTACAGACAGAAAAGCATGGGGAGATGAGAGAGGAAAAGGATCGGCAAAGGACCTTGAGCCAGGAATCGAACTCGGGTCGCCGCAAGCACCTGGTTACTATATGTCGACGCATTAACTAGTAGGCTATTGGCGCCGACGGACTGTCAGTACTTAACCCTCAGCTGAGGCGTGAGCCATGTTGTAAAACCCCATTAAATCAGAATAGTATTTTTGGAAATTGTCCCAAATGATGGCTCAAATAATATTATTAAGATCCTAAATATGTGCCAATTCTGAATGTATTGGGGACGTGCACTCTGACTGTGATGTTCATGATAAGCCAATTGGCTATACAGCCCTCCCTATTTCCAAAATTGGTTCAATTTGTGATATTATGATCAAAATATTAGGAGGATTTTATGCTATTGCAGCAGCTAGAGGCTGTTTGTGAGTGGATACGTTTGCCAAAAGGAAAATTGGTTGTACTTCACAAATAGTTCCGATGTGGGAACTGATTGGTTGTGCCAACGAGACAATAACGAATCCCATTTTGATGATTTTTACTTTTTTTTTTTTCTTGTTGATTCAATCAAGATGTCATGGGAAACAAGCCATGAGTACTCCTGTTTTTCTTCCAATGAAAGTCTGAGGTAAATGAATTGTCTTTAAAATGCAAGCTTCTCTGAATGGACTGTTTACACAGTGCAAAAGCGCGTACTTGTAGGGAAATGACAATCCGCGAATCTCAGTGCATTGTTACCGGACCAATCAGAGCTTCTTGAGAGTGTGCCTTTCAGAGGAACTAGGAAATAGCCAAGTAGCTGTATATAATGAAAGTAAGATTTATGAACAAAATAATGTGATTTTCTACAAATGAGGCATCAGCACACATTACTTTGCATCTTATAAACAGAAACTCTGCTGTCCTTCTTGGTAGCTCAAGAGCTTTGTTATTTGTTCATTATCTAGATAATTATTAATTTTTAGAGTTTTTCATACTGAAACTCTTGGTTCTTAGATCAGAATGAGATAGGCAGAAGCTGTTGATTTGTGATTGAGGTCGAGATCCTTTCGTTCAGTGGGTTTTCACCTCCGGAAGGACTGTCAGTTCTTAACCCTTAGCTGAGGCGTGAGCCATGTGTTCCTGTTGCTTTTGGCCTGACACATGATTTGAACTATTTTTGCTTGATTTATTTATTGTTTTGCCATTTCAACACATTTGCACTGGATTTAAACCGATGATAGAACAGCAAAATACCCTTTAAACCACTTGTATCTCGTGTTGTATTTTTTCCTTCTTTTCTTTTTGAGCTGATTTTAAATGTGACGCTCTTAAACTTTCTTTGATCGTTCAACCTGGTGAAGTGCGTTTCTCAGTCTCAGTATGACATTCATCACAGTTCATCCACACCTTTTGATGTGACTCACCCCGTTCCAATATCCTCACACGAGGAAGCCACATTCATCAAGCCCTTTAGCTGAAAGGCTGTAGGGAGCTGAACGAGGTGGCATACGTTTTAAAATCAGCCAGTCAAATAACTTCCTGCTGGAGGCTTTCAGATCAGGACCCCTGCTCTACCGAAATAGATCCGCGCTCCCTCTCGTCTCCGAGACAGATGTGTCATCAATAGTGCCCTAACAAAAGCTCAATGGAAAACTGACTCAGAGCGATTTCATGGAACAAGTGGTACTCTGATGAGCACTGAACCGGCCCCTCCATCTCATTTCAGACCCGTGAGAATGACGTGGGTATGGACGTCACAGCCAGTGATGTTGTCCTCTCAATCATCATTCAAGATCCTTGAGTGATCTAATGTCAGTGATTTGCATGCGATCTATTGAACTCTGGACTCCTGCTTTGCACTTCTTTGCCATGTATTGATTTTGGTGGTGTTTTTCCCCCAAGACTGTTGTAGTTGGGGGTGTTTTCAGTGGATTGTATAGTTTAACAATATGTCATCTACATTGAAGTCTGAATTATTACCCCTCCTAAATTATTAGCCCCCTGTTTATTTTCTCTAATTTCTGTTTTACAGAAATGTTTTCAACGTACTCCTAAACATAATAGTTTTATTAGCTCATTTCTAATAACTGATTTATTTTCTCTTTGCCATGATGACAGCACATAATATTTGACTAGATAGTCTTCAAGACACTAGTATTCAGCTTTAAGTGGCATTTAAAGGCTTAACTAGGTTAATTAGTCAAGTTCGGGTATTTAGGCAAGTCCTTGTGTAGGGTTAAATTGTGTTGTGTAGACATTTGTTTTAGTATGCCCCAAATTTTAGTATGTAAAATGTTTCAGCATACCAAAAAGGTTTTAGTATGGTTTGTGTTTATGCAAGTGAGACAAGCGTGGTGCTAATCGACAAGAGAAGGCACCAATAATGGTCCATACACCATACTAATCAAGCAATGCAACTGTTTATTGCTGGTACACACAGCTGATATCAATTATCACAATAATATTCAATAATCATGAATCATACTCATGAACATCATTAATCGAAATACAACAAGATTGCATAAAAGGCTTCTAATGCGAAATAAAGATGAGGTTACATGAATAAAAGACAGATAATGAAAACTTCAAGCAATTTGATACAAGTATATACAACCTCAGAGTTGTGCCATCATTTTCCTCTTCAAAGACTGGGGAGCCCGTTGCAGTCACATTGGAAAACCAACACGTGTGTCCGAGAATGCCCGGCGAAGCGCGCTTATCCCACGGCTGAGCTTCCAATGTTTCAGCAAGAAACCCTCACCTTTATAGTCAAAATTTGGGTGCTGGCCAAAGGTCGGCCTAATAGGTAAGAGAGAAGTGTGAGTTGATCAGGCCCACCTCCTCTCTCAGCTAGTTGCACATTATTTCTGATTGCAAAGCACTAATTTGAGGTTTGTAGTGTCAGCATGATTATCTAGAGTCAATATTCTACCCCCTGAAATTTGGAGAAAGTTAACCTTAAGGTCCGGAGAGCCTTCTCTGGTTATTTGGTCAAACCTAAGTGTCAATATTTTACCACCTGAAATTTGGAGAAAGGTGTGAAGTTAACCTTAAGGTCATGAGACCCTTCTCTGTTCATACTTTTCGCCAGCGGATTTGCAACGGGTGCGGGCGAAGGATCGCGATGCCGATGTTGTCTATCGGACGAACCATACGTAATACGTACATAGCAGAGCTTGCAAAACTGTGTTTTTTTATCGACAACACAAACGTTGTCAACATAACTCACTGGAAATCCAAAATGCTTCCACACCGGCGACTTCATTGAAAGAGGAGAGGGTTTAAGCTCTGTCGACGGGTCTCCTGCTTCTGCAGTTTGACAAGCACTTCAACAAGCCTGTTACTTTCCCGCTTGGCAAGCCAAGCTGACGTGACATGGGGGCGTGGCAGCATCGACAATTCTATTTTTTGATTCGATAATCGAAATTGAGCATAAATTTCGATCGATTTCGATTAAAAATCGAAATCGTGACACCCCTGTTACTGAATAACCATCTCTTTTTCGCTTAATATTCTAGTTAGAATTAAACCGTGCCATGTGGAGAGCTGATGTTAGATGAAGGCAGCAGGAAGTTTAGCCTTACATTTTTTTTTTTTTTTTGTCATCAAGCCCTTTTAGGTTGGGTCGTTCAAATCAATACAGTTTATCTGTATTCAGCGATGTTGGCTGTCATTAGAGCGTTGTAGGTCATTTTATAGAGCAAGAGAATGTTTCCTTGAGGACTGAGCTAAATGGACTTTTCTTGTCTTCTTCAGGTAATCTTGGTGCAGGTAAACCCAGGAGAGGCCTTTACAATCCAGCGAGATGATGGTCAGTTTCAGTGTATCACAGGTAAGTTGTTCTTCTTAAAGAGGTATTTCTGTCCAGTTGAACCCGTGAATGCATTAGTCTAGGAACAAGTGGCATTTCATTTCACCGAAGCACAAGTTCAGACGAGTGTAATTACCACTCTCAGACTTACTCCGTAACCGACTGCAGTAAAAGTGCTGATTAACACCTATAAGTTCTCCTTATTGATTGAAGAGATTTGACTCTCAATGTTTTTACATACTTGAAGGTCCGATTTTTCAACTGTGCATTGACATGTGCATTGTTTTTCTTGTATGCATGATCTAAACTGAAACGTGAAGACAGGGCTGGACGTATAGTAGCCCCCCCTCCCCCCTAAATAAATTCTGTCCCTGTTTTGGAGCGCATTTGCTTACAGATATCTTTAAGCCCTATAACATAAAGCACTTGGGCATCCAGACACATCTACTGTGTTCCTGTATACAGAAACTTGAAACGCTGGTCCCACTTCCAGACTCTTCTGATTGATCCTGTGAAACTAACAGTGATGAGCAACACTGCGTGTGAAAGTAGAATTTCTTTAAACTTGTTATTCTGCCAGAAAACATGTTCCGCAGTAGGGCTGCACAATATATCGTTTCAGCATGAATATCGTAATGGGATCATTAGTCACTTCACAGGATATGGGTGTTGAGGTAGTATTATAGTTCATCATTTGCATGTGTTTTGAATGATTGTGATTATATAATGTTTTTAAAAACTTTCAGGTATAAGAAATTGTATCACTTGTGACCTAAACCTTTAAATAAATTATTTATATTATTATCATTCAGGGACTGTATTTGAATACTTTTCGACTCAGGAAGTGATGAAACGCTTTAGGCCCTATCATTCACCTAGAGCAGTGGTTCTCAAACTGTGGTACATGTACCACTAGTGGTGCGCGGGCTTATTTCTACTGGTACGCGGAGGAATCACTGAGTAATGAAAGAAATTAATCAATACAATTTTTAAAAATTACTGTATTCTTTGTGACATCTCGGTCACTAGAGCGTCAAAATTTAACCCACAGGTTAGAAAAATGAGAAAGAACTGCAGCACAATGCGCTTGCGTATTCCAGGCATACCTAGTTGAAAACGTCTTAACTTTTTAGAATGCCGCACCACGAGTCACATGACAAAAATCAACTGATCAGCTTCATATTTTATATAGAATATAACTTCATTAGACTAATTTATCTCAAACACAGAACACCCAAACACTGCAGTGCTTCTTAATTTTCTCCATAAATAGAACTCATATTAGAGTGCAGCAATGTTCTGTCAGCTTGACATCCTCTGAGAAAAACAGGTTCCCTAGCAATCTACATGCAAGTTAATGTTTCGATTTCAAAAAGTTTTACACATACGTCATATGTACATGCAACATATATTTTAAAATATATAAAAAAATTGTATGAATATGACTTGTTTTTGAACTGTGGAGTGCAGTAGCTGCTTAATATGGCCAACTTCACTGCTTTATTTCAATACTGGTCATTATGGTGGTACTTGGAGAGACCAATTTTTTCTTAGGTGGTACTTGGTGAAAAAAGTTTGAGAACCACTGACCTAGAGCAATAGACACAAGACGTGTTTGGTATCTTGTTGCTATTTTCAGACCAACGCAACTCTTAATTTTCACAGTTTGCGCCACGTTGTTTGAATGGCAAATCCATTTGCACCACTTTGTGGACTCGGACATAGGACATAGGTGTGCTGGTCTATAATAGAAGTGTGTTAAGGCGAATTGTTGAATTATGAAGAACTGAAATAGGCCGTGCCATTGACCAACTAAAAGCTGCAACAATGTTGTTCTGTGTGTTTATGTGCAAGAAATAATGATCCATGATTACCAGATTTAAAACTTCGCAGTGCTAAAAACCGATGTTCTGCCTAGCCAAAGACAAGGAAAAAAGACGGAGCTATACAAGGCCTGGGTAATCATCAACAAGCAAAACAACTGCATTCTGACAGCGAACTGCACCTATTCGGCAGAATATTTGAACATACAGTACATGTTTATATTTCATTCTAAGCATTCAGTGTCTGCAGTTTAATTCATTAATTAAATAATTAATTGTTTTTGCTGAAATCATTGCTGCAATCAAAAACCAGTGTATTATTCAGCTTAGCGTGAACTTACCTGATATGAAATGAGAACTGCAGAGTCCAGCATTTTTAATTAGGTCCTCACTCTATTCGGCTCTTATGATGGCTGTTAGCCAAAGACGTCTGCAGTTGGCATTAAAGCAGTGTGGTGTACGGTAAAATTTAAGTTTTCTATTTTTGGAAATCTTTCGATTTGGAAATCGAATTTGGCATCCTACCGCACAACACGACATGTTTGCTATTGCAAACTGTCGTTTTTTGCAGCTGCTATGCACGGTTGAACCTGTGACGTTGGTTGGTAATTCCTCTATTGGAAGAAAGTTTAGCTTGTATTAAGAAAAAACTCACTTAATTTTCACACATTATTTCTGAAACCACGACAGTATTTTTGTGCTTGTCTAGAAAAGGCTTCTTGATTTAAAATGTTTTTCGATATTTGGACCAGAAACAGAAGAAACACATTTTTTGCTGTGCAGAAACACACTGAATCTCTAAACACAGTTTCCATTTTCTCTGTAACTTCATTGCTTGATATATTGCATGGGAGAAACAAATATGCAGACTCGTAATAAAGTAAATCACTTTGTCGCCGCATTTTATTTGATTGTCGCCTGGGTTGAATTGGTCAATGGGGATCTTTTGAGAGTTGTGCATTAGCATGGTTTAATCATGCTCATTGTGAAAGGGCATTAAGGCTTCCTGTAGCTTTCTGTGAAAAAGGTCAATAATGTTAAACTTTAAAAACAACTGCAGAGAGATTCCCCAACTGAGCAAATCGTTCAACCCTTTTACCAAGCATTGACCATCTAGACCAGGCGTGTCCAAACTCCGTGCTGGTGGGCCACTCTCCTGCATAGTTTAGCTCTAACTTACTTTAACATGCTTTGCTGGAGGTTTCTAGTATCTAGAAAGAGCTTGATTAACCTGTTCAGGTGTGTATATATGGGGTTGGAACTAAAATAAGTAGGACACTGGCCCTCCAGGACCGGGTTTGGACACCCCTGATCTAGACTTTTGAGTTAATTATTGTTGCTCCACTAGTCAATTTAATTCACGTTCATGTCTAAAGTGCTTTTACAATGTAGATTGTGTCTACATAGAAGTTCTAGTAGATTAAAGTTGAGTCAGTCCAGTTTCGAATCGGAATAGGGTCACATTTAACTGGCAGTGTAAACGGGGCCTTAGTTAAACTGTAGAGTTGAATTTTCAACATCAGTAATGGACAGAGCAGAGATCAACATCCCATAATGCAATTCACAACCGTAAATAACCAGAAAACACTTGTGAATCATGAAATACACAAACTGTTAATTAAGAGGTAATATTTTACAGTGTGTGTTCCACAAACCTGTTGCTTCTTTTGGATTACGGAGAGATGCTGAAATACTAAGCGCCCTATTTTGACGGTCCATGCGCAGAGCGCAAAACGCAGGGCGCAAACGCTTTCAGGGTGTGTCGGAACGCGTTTTTGCAAATTTACGGACGGGAAAATCCGCTTTGCGCCGTGGCGCATGGTGTAAAAGGGTTGAGTTTATTTTCTTAATGAGTTATAGGTGTGTTTTGAGAATAAAACCAATCAGAGTCTCATCTCCCATTCCCTTTAAGAGCCAGCTGTGTCGCGCCAAGTGCGCATTCGCTATTTACAGGACACAAAGTAAGTCTAAGTGAAAAAAATGAGCATTTCACAAGCAAACAGTTAACAGTTTTTTAACAGAAAACTGTTAAACAGAGCATCTACTGCGTGAGAATGAGAGATAATGGATCTACTTTCACTTTCGCTCTTGGATAGGGAAACCTTTACGCACAGTCATCAATTAGTCTATAAATAATTAATTGTGTTTGTTAAGCGCAAATATTCGTTTCAAAACTATTTCTAAATTCAGTTCTAATTTTCAGCAAACGAATAAATGAACAATAATGACCAAGTGTGCTCAAAATACTGAGTTATTTCCAAATACACCTGCCATGCCCCATATGGTCTAAAACCTGACAGGTGGGCAAATCTAAGCTTGTTTTTAATAAAACAAATATAAATATGGATATAATAAATAATACTGCTAATAATAATAACATTATACAAAAGCAAATTGTTATGAATGAACTGAAAAAGCCTCCCGAGATGAAAAAGACATAAAAGCAGTGATTTTTCATTTTCATGTAGGCTAGAAAATAATATGTTTTGTAATATTTTAATCCTTTATATTTATATCCTATATCTATTCTTATTATATTCTATATATATCCTTAATATTTAAAATTTTTCATATGTAGAGATATTTGCGTATTGCTCTACATCTTGTGTGTATTATGCAGTGTGTAAGCGAGGCGCAACTCTGTGCTGGAGTTTAGACCGGGTTAGTTTTGGTCTAATGAAAAATCTATTATAGATTCTCAAAATAGCAACGCGCCAGCGGTCCGCCTCAGAACACCTTCCTTTTTAGACCAGAACGCCAATGGGCGCACACATGAGCGCTAATGCATTTGCTATTTAAACAGCGTAGAGCAACGCCTCAAAACGACTCTTGTGCCAAGCTGAAACTAGCAAAAGACTACTGCGCCGCGCCTTGCGCCACACTGCGCCGGGTGTATGATAGGGCCCTGAATGTTCTTACATTGACGTCAAATAGAATCCCCCCACAAGTTTTCATCATGACTCCTAGTAGATCCCCAGTCTAAAAATCAACACGTCCTCATTCACTAAGAGAGCCATCCAGTGTGGGATCTAATTGGCATATGTGTTGGAAGCTCAGTCACAACAGTCGGCTAGTGTTTGGTGGGTCTCGGCGGGGTTGCAATGAGATGTCTTACACCCCCTCTCAGCTTGCAAAGAGCTCTTTTTCTTTTCTTTTTTGTCTGTATTGTGTGGGATGGGTGCGAACGCGCTTCAAACT